ATCATTATATGTCCTTAATATAAACAAAAAAAATAATAGCCACTTATAAGTGCGATAACGAGGCTACGATTTAAATAAATATAAAAATATATCAAGACATTAATCAATACCTTATTTTAAAATCAACCTTAAAATAATAATTACGCCCGACAATATCTATCATCCACGATCAATATGTAATATTTATTTCCATCGATAATAAATAAATAATCAAATAATTAAATATTCAAAATATCATAATTTTAATATTCAATACCATTTATTCCCCCCGAATTCCCCTCCGTCCTCGATAAATTTCCTACTCCTATTATCTCCTCAAACGACGTAATATAAATAATTAATTAATATAATCAAACCATCCACGTATAATTTAAATTATCGGAATCGTATTCCAAACTAAAATAAAATAGATTTCAAAAAAATATACAAATCTATTTAAATAATAAATCAAAATAAATCCCTAAGCAAATAGACCCTTAATTTCGACTAATATCAAAAATAATGAATCATTCCAAAGTCCAAAACCAAATAAAAACCATTCGAATATATAATAACATTTTACACTACGAATTCGTTCCGAAATCGACATAAATCGAATCGCCTAAGCAAAAAAACATCTTAATCATATATATATTTATTAAACAATATATAAATATAATATATTTAATCGAATATATCTAAATTATATTTTTATCAAATATATTTTAACATATTCATATTATATTAATATAAATATCGAATAGCGAATATATAAAAATATATAAATAATCAAAGCTAATGTTAATCCTAATACAAAATATTAGACCTAAACAAGCCAATATAAATTCTTATATTCTAAGTTTTTAGATATTTTTATAAATTGGGTTTATCCTAATACCTCTAAAAATAAATGATAATGGTTATAAAAACCTTTAAAACATACGAATATATTTATCTATTGATTATTACAGATAATAAAACAGGCCCCAAACTATACATCATAAGGCAATACATACATCAATTTGTCAAACACAATATGCGGACATCGCTCCTAGCGTAACATAATGTCATCATATGTCGTCCCTGGTGCTAACGCGTTATGCTGCTGACCCGTTACGCTAAAATGTTGACATGCCCTCAAGCTACTCTGCGATTTGCGCTGACCTGCTAACTTTAACGTGTTATACTTCTGACATGCGAAGGTGTTGGTACGCCGATATTCTGACATGGTGTCGCTGTCGCGCAGACGTGTAGACACGCTGACACCTTGTCAGGCTGTCACGTTGACGTACTGTCATGCTGGCACAGGACAAAGTAACATGCTAACACAATTGTCGCGCTCTGAGATGCGGAAAAGGTCTCCTGGTTTTTGCTTGCTGCGGTGTTGTCATGCTTGCACATATGTGTGCACATGTGCTACGCTGACGTATTGGCGTGTCAATATGCTCGGATGGCGCATTGGAAAGGCTCACATTATTGAAAGCAGCAGTGTCTTAACAAATATACACACACCACTTGTTGATGACCTTGCAAACAAACGTCACAAGTTCATTGACACATGCCATATGTTGCCCCGCTGTTGGGGTATATAGTTTATCTGGGGCTTATACATTTTCTCTTTTGGGGATTGTCATAATGTATTGGTAAATTGATATGTTGTTGTGTCCTCAGATTATGTGCTTGTATGGAATTCCAAAATATTTTTTAATCTAAAATGTTTGCTGACATGAATGGGGGTGTTGCCACGCCGATGGGTCATGTTGAAGTGTTGCATGTAATGCTTTCATGCTGGCGTGGCACATTTCAAGGATCCATTCAAAACAGCCTTGCCGGCGAAAGGCGCGCAACACTTGTTGGTGAACTAGCGCCATTGCCTAATGGGCGGATTCGTGCTCAGCTGTCTGGAATTCTTTTGAGGCTTATTCCCGAGAGTGCCTGCGAAGGGTTCTTCGTAAAAAACACCTGCAGAACTACGTCTCATCTACATCTTCACATCTTCACCTCTGCACATCCACATTCTCACCTATATCTCTGCTCATCTTCACATCTACATTCACAACTGCACATCTACATCTCTGCACATCTTCACATCCTCACATCGACATCTCTGCTCATCTTCATCTTCACACATGTACATCTCTGCTCATGTTCACATCTGCACATCGACATCTCTGCTCATCTTCACATCCTCATATCTACATCTCACATCTTTACCTCTCATCTACATCTCACATCTTCACCTCTCGCTCTTCTAAACCGCACTCTCGCCTGCATTTCGCGCCCTCGACACGCACGATCTCCGCAGAGGGTTGCGTTTCGTGGCGGTCCGGCGGCGCTGTCCGGAGCAACCCTTCGCGGAGATCGCGCGCGTCGAGGGCGCGAAATGCAAGCGAGAGTGCGTTTTGGCCCGCGCAGCCCTCTGCGGAGATCGTGCGTGTCGACTTTGTAGTACATGCAACTTTAGTACGCGGAGCAATCTGTGGAGCTGGAAGCTGAGAACTGGCGACTTTGTAGTA